CGAACGCTACTCGACCCTATTGAACGGTTAGCCAAAAAAATTGGGTAAGAATACGAAAGAATTTTTGATTTTTCGATTAAATCAGGTAGGAATGCGGAATAACCATTAATTTCCGTATTCCTACCCTATCCGTATTAATATATATATATATATAAACTAAAAACCCTAATTTCATAATCATATGGTTTAAACTTAAAATAATTGTTATTANATTTTTTTTTTTTTTGGTCAGGTTCTTAAGAAAATATAAGGGCAAAAAAATCTCTCTACTACCCGTAGGACATGTTGGAATAACAAAGTTAGAATAGATTAGATATCTTAAAAAATTTGTTTTTNCGTATTAATATATATATATATATAAACTAAAAACCCTAATTTCATAATCATATGGTTTAAACTTAAAATAATTGTTATTATATTTGTGTAATAATTATGATAGATTGATGTTTATACTTTCTTGTGTTTTATTGTAATTGTTAGTGTAATTGTTTTAGGTTTTAGTGTTATTGGTTTATTGTATTGTTAAATTGGTATATGTTATTTAATTAATTGTTAAAATGATCCAAAATTTAATAACTACAAAAGTGTTCACCCGATTTCTTACCTGACTTTCTACCTAATTAATTTGGCCAAAAGTCGAGTAAGAATACCACACTTGATCGGGTATCATAGGTCAAAAAAAAATACTTCCGCAAAGTATCGGATAAAAAAACAAAAAAATCATATTTTTTATCCGTAGGATAGGATCAATACCCTTAGATAAAATTTAGCTCCCATTTGGGCCAAACCCATGCATACCTCCGATGCCACACGGGCTAGGATTGAACCCATGAACCCGTTATTTGGAGTGGGGGATTTTTTATTTTTTTGATCAAGGAGTGGGGGACTTGGATATCACTGGTTTCACATGAAGTGGTGGCTAAATGTAAAGTTCATAAGAGTTAATATTTTTAGATCTTTGTTTTGAAATAAGGATTTGAATAACAATGTCTTACGAACCCATAAATTGTTATTCAAAATTAATCGAAAAAGTTGATACCACCAATAGAACTCACGAACTGGTTATTTGGAGTAGGGACTTGGATACCACGAATGCCACATGAATTGGTGATCAAATGTAATGTTTATAGAGCTAATAATTTTGGGTACGACAACCTTGCAGTATCTAACTATTCTACACTAAATCTAAAAACTGTAAGGAACATAAAAAATGAAAATAGAATAAGAAATGGGCTCCCATACCTACTAAATTTAAGCAATGCCCTGATTGGATGCTTCTTGTTCAATATGTTGTTGCTCATTTAATTGAACACATTTTAGCACACCAACCAGCAGTGGTTCGTGGTAGCTTCACCGACAAAAGTTTTTGTTCCAACTGGTCAACACCGTAGGAAAAATTTATAATACAACACAGGGTTTCAATTAGTTCATTCAACAATTTCAAATAAACTCATCCAACGATCATCAATATCTCTCTCAAAACTATTCACATTGCACCGTACCTTTAAACACGAGTTACTCTAGTATTATGTTACAAGAAGACATTTTATCTTGGTTAAACTCATTTTTGAGAAAAATTTAGAAATTGTCAAACTCACAATCAACTCAATAAATCTTGTATTACAGATATTTGGAGTCGAATGAATGAATCGTGTTTTTTTCATTTGTATCCAAGGTCATATGTTTTTGTTAAACCGTGAACCATTATGCTTTTATTTTTTTACTATTTTGTTCAATATTATTTTTAGTCAATGTTGACTTCGTGTGTTATCATTGGTATGTATCAAATTTAGAAAATATTTGTAATCAATAATTTTTTTGATTTTCCTTTTAGATAAGAAAAAGAGAAGGTTGGCCGAAGAGACCGAGCAAATATTGAATGTAATTGTGATACTATGTTAACAATGCTGACGTGATTTCATCAACCAATAATAAAACACCAATGGTATGTTTGGATGTGAGTGTATTAGATATCTAAAAAGATATCATTTTCTATTTAATCCAAACTCAACCAATAGTCATCCATAGGATATAAATTGGTATATCCAGTCATTTCTCTTGTTCGGATAAATTATACATTTTTGTGGGATCCATGGACAAGAATTATGTAATTTACTTTCATTGACTATTATCCTCATATCCTATCCAATTCGCTATTATGTTTTGTTTATAAATTAGCCTACAACTCATTTCAAAAATGCATTTTCACATCAATTTTTTTAACAACTCATTTTAAACAAAAATAAATAAATTTTCACATCTATTTTTTTAACAACTCATTCAATTATAAAATAAATATTTTTAAATATATTGTAGCCATAAAAAATATACCTCATCAACCATTCAAGTTAACAACTTAAAATGTTTAAAAAATTAACCAAGATCTCCTGACCTAAGAGTGGGTTTATCCGTAAATTGCATTACATATCCTGCGTAGCAAAAAAATATCTCATCCCCTCTTGGATAGTTGTTTTAGGGGAAGAGTAGATAATTATTTATTTATATGGAGGGTTAGTCATTAATTTTAGTAAAATTTATTTATTTATTTATTTTAATATTATTGATTGATGATATGATATTAACATTATTACGTGATATTATGGTTATAATAAATATTTTCTCGAAGAGACCAAGAGGAATTCTTAAGACGGATAGTTTTTTGTTTCTTCTTTAAGATTGAAAATAATAGCAATTTTATTATAGGAAAATATGGGCTAGTAGATGAGGCATAATAAAGACCGGAGCCATACCCACCCATGATCCATCCCTCACGATCATGTATTCTACAGTGTAAGAAAGAAATCATGCACAAAATAAAAATCCCTCTTCTCTCTCCTCATGCTCTCTCTCCAATCGTATCTCTCTAATTTATTCCCGCCAAACAAATGATGGGTATTTGACTAATGTATATTTTGAGGTTTTCTTTTAAGAAATTTTTTTTTTTTTTGGTCAGGTTCTTAAGAAAATATAAGGGCAAAAAAATCTCTCTACTACCCGTAGGACATGTTGGAATAACAAAGTTAGAATAGATTAGATATCTTAAAAAATTTGTTTTTCTATCTAATTCAAATCCACTTAGTTGTCATTCCAATAAGACATATTTTTTTTTTTTGATCAAACAAATAAGATATAAATTACTATATTCAATCATTTTCTCGATGGAGTATATTATAGCATTTTTGTGGGGCCCATAGATAATAGTTATGTAATTTACTGTCATTGACTATCATGTCTCTATCATATTCAATCAACCACCATATTTGGTTTATAAATTAGTCTTCAATCCATTAAAAATACATGTTTACATCTATTTTTTTTTACGACTCATTCAAATATAAAATAAATATTTTTAAATATATTGTAATCATAAACGCTATATAGTAATAGACAAAATATGTGTTCATATGTTAGTAGCACAAAACAACCAATTTCATAGCGCCTGGGAAACTCAAGTTTGATCGAGGATTGGAGAGGAGAGGTGGAAGAAAAGGCTCAGGATGGATTTAGGAGTCGTTGTGCGAGTCATATGCGGTGGGAGTCGCACGTACGATAACAATGGGGGGTTTGTGTCTATGCATGTAGTGTGGTGGTTGGGCCTACCCACCCTATTTGTTCCATAATCTATGGGTCTACTGGAGCTACCCACTTCGATCAATTAACCAAGATTTTGATCGGATATGAAATCACTGGTACTCGATGCATAATAAAAAAATAAGTTCATTCATATGACGACATTAAAAAAAATACACTTCATCAACCATAAAATGTTAAAAAAAACAGTCAAGTATCAAATAAACTCATTCAACAGTAACAGACATTCCTCTCAAAATCATTCATATCGTATCGTGTCTTCACACATGGTTTACCCCTACTACCAAGGAATCACACAATAGCAAGACTAAAAATTGTAAATATTATTTAGGTTGCATGTTCAAATTTTGGCGAGTTTGCAACTAGAGATTGTTCATGCTTTCATGAGAAAGCATTAAAATGTTTAAGATATTCAAGTAACTTTATTTACAATAACAAAAACTAAAAGAAAACTATAAAATAGATAAATATGCAACACAAATCAAATGATGATTCAGTCTAGAAACATAGCACTTCCCCATTCCTTGACAAATTTTTTACTAGATTATTTTCTATGTGTGTAAATTAACTTCATTGGTACTGATTGAAATGTTCACGATTATTTTCTAAATGGTTAAATTACAAATTAGTTTTTATATTTGAAAAAAATTGTTATTTCTAATTGCTATGTAAGTTAGATGGTGATTTCTTTTCAACTTTCAGATCGTTCTCGTGTTATGGTTAAATCACATTGGATCTTTTTTAGTGCCATTTTATGACCAAGCACCACACAAAGGTTAAGAAGCTTATGGGAGGACTATATAGTTCAAAATCAAAAACAAAAAAAATCTGAAAGTTCATGATAAAAGTACACATGTATCTATACTACTGTCATGTAGTTCAAAAACAAAAAAGAAGTCAGATATTTTTTTTTTTCCATTGACGCCAAAAATAAAAACAGATTGTGGTTCGTGCGATATAAAATTATGTGCACGCACTGGTAAAAGTAAAGTATGCATGAGGTGCAAAATTGTCAGTTTTTGCATCCAACCCAACCAGGAGAGAACAGATGCTCAAACAAACCCTGGGAAGGGGAACACCAAATGGACGAAAAAGAAGGTTGTCACTCAATGAAAATGCAGCTGACATCCATTCAAGAAATCCACTTCCAAACTAGGCTTTTAACAACAAAAAAACAGTGTCTAGTTGCTTCCCGAAACATTAAGTCTTGGACGTCTTGCCATCTCAAATTTACCAAAAGTGTGAGAAGAAAAGAAGGCTTTCCATCATATATACCCAGATAAATACCAACATAAACAAAGATCTAACCAAGTGGGACACAACGGAATAACTACAGATAATACATCATTTGAGCCATACTCGACATATAACTACCAAAATTCCAGCCTTTACATCTCTCACAGGTAATATCAGTCATTGACAACCATGGCACCCATATCAGAAGTACTCCCCAGCTTCTTGATGATCAATCTCTTATGGGGAGGTCGGTCATTGGTCGATACATCAGCATCAATGATGACCGAGTCTTCCTCCTTGAAATCTCCGCGTAAGAGTGTCGTTGCAAGTTCATTCTCAACCAACTGTTGTATCACCCNCACTTCCCCATTCCTTGACAAATTTTTTACTAGATTATTTTCTATGTGTGTAAATTAACTTCATTGGTACTGATTGAAATGTTCACGATTATTTTCTAAATGGTTAAATTACAAATTAGTTTTTATATTTGAAAAAAATTGTTATTTCTAATTGCTATGTAAGTTAGATGGTGATTTCTTTTCAACTTTCAGATCGTTCTCGTGTTATGGTTAAATCACATTGGATCTTTTTTAGTGCCATTTTATGACCAAGCACCACACAAAGGTTAAGAAGCTTATGGGAGGACTATATAGTTCAAAATCAAAAACAAAAAAAATCTGAAAGTTCATGATAAAAGTACACATGTATCTATACTACTGTCATGTAGTTCAAAAACAAAAAAGAAGTCAGATATTTTTTTTTTTCCATTGACGCCAAAAATAAAAACAGATTGTGGTTCGTGCGATATAAAATTATGTGCACGCACTGGTAAAAGTAAAGTATGCATGAGGTGCAAAATTGTCAGTTTTTGCATCCAACCCAACCAGGAGAGAACAGATGCTCAAACAAACCCTGGGAAGGGGAACACCAAATGGACGAAAAAGAAGGTTGTCACTCAATGAAAATGCAGCTGACATCCATTCAAGAAATCCACTTCCAAACTAGGCTTTTAACAACAAAAAAACAGTGTCTAGTTGCTTCCCGAAACATTAAGTCTTGGACGTCTTGCCATCTCAAATTTACCAAAAGTGTGAGAAGAAAAGAAGGCTTTCCATCATATATACCCAGATAAATACCAACATAAACAAAGATCTAACCAAGTGGGACACAACGGAATAACTACAGATAATACATCATTTGAGCCATACTCGACATATAACTACCAAAATTCCAGCCTTTACATCTCTCACAGGTAATATCAGTCATTGACAACCATGGCACCCATATCAGAAGTACTCCCCAGCTTCTTGATGATCAATCTCTTATGGGGAGGTCGGTCATTGGTCGATACATCAGCATCAATGATGACCGAGTCTTCCTCCTTGAAATCTCCGCGTAAGAGTGTCGTTGCAAGTTCATTCTCAACCAACTGTTGTATCACCCTCTTCACAGGCCTTGCTCCAAAGTTAGGATCAAAGCCCAGAGTTGCTAAGAGATCAACAGCTGCTTCTGTGTAGTGAAGATCAATCTTCTTTTGTTTGAGCCTCTCCTTCACACGATCCATCTACAATGAAGATAAAATGTTCCGGGTGTTACACAAAATTCCATCATTGCATTAGTGGACGAGGATAATATAGGTTTTAGATAAGCACCAAGACTTTTGACATTGAGAATCATAAGCCCATCATGTTGACGAATTTTCTCAAACTAGAGCTTATTAGTTTCCAAGATGAATATTAGTATGCCGAGGACACCATTCACGTGATATATTGGCATGCATGTTTTTATAATACTCGAGTCCATCAATGCAGTAAACTGGAAATGACAACATATTGAAGAACTTCTAAATATTTTCCATGAGTAAATAAGGTAAAGCGTCTTTTTAGGTAACTATTTTAAGCAAAAAAGCAATTTCAGCAAAAAAATAAAATAAAAGCATATATTTATCAATGTATGATAAAAGTGATCTATGTAAATATTAGTATACAACCATTACCCTTGTATATGTGCATACTGTACCAATAAAAAAGAAATAGGGGAAAAGAAAGTTACACACAAGACAAATGTTAAAAAGCTATAAGGCAAGCAAAAAATCGGTTTAAAAAATGTTTAACAAGTCCAAAGTAGTGCTAAATTTGACCTATTTTTCAATTTCTCATACAAGTTTAGATAGGATACTTGTTCATATATGAGCTTGAACACAATTGAAACTATCTTTGAAAGAGTGATCACTTGCCGCAATGAGCTTAATAGAGTCCGATGTTAGCAATTCTACACATTTGTGCCATTAGGTGGTGCAGTTCTCTGTGTACACACTCATCATTGACCAGTGATTTTTTGCTTCTGCGGGAGCCAGATGTCAATGGCTAGTGTCATAAAACAAACATTAGCATTCTGTGACAACTTAATATTTCAGGTTAGAAAGTCCTAATCATCAAAGACTAAACAATCAATGTATACCCATCACGATATAAACAACGATTGACGCCAAGATAAAACACGAGCTTAACATAATAGTCAATGTTGGGCGAATTTTAATTACCTGAATCCCAACAATTTTTCTGATTTCTTTGGAATCTAGTGGTTGGAAGACAATGTACTCATCAACTCGATTCATGAACTCTGGCCGGAAAGTTTGTCTAGCCAACTCAATAACCTGTTTTTTCATTATCTCGTAAACCACTTCCTTGCTGTCCTCTGTATTTTTAAGAGTTTCAAGGATGTAGAGGGAACCAATATTAGATGTCATAATGATAACAGTGTTCGTGAAACTAACAGTCCTTCCTAGAGAATCGGTTATTCTTCCATCATCCAACAACTGTAAGAGAATGTTGAAAACATCATGATGCGCCTTCTCGATTTCATCAAAGAGCACAACAGAATAAGGCCTACGACGGACCGCTTCAGTCAGTTGCCCACCTTCTTCATAACCAATATACCCAGGTGGTGCACCAACCAATCGTGAAACAGCATGTTTCTCCATGTACTCGCTCATATCAATCCTCACAAGAGCCTTTTCTGTGTTGAATAGGTATTCAGCTAGGGCCTTTGCAAGCTCAGTTTTACCAACACCGGTAGGCCCCATGAACATGAAGCTTGCAATAGGTCTATTTGGGTCAGACAGGCCAGCCCTTGAACGTCGGATTGCATCAGCGACTGCCTTCACTGCCATATTCTGACCAACAACCCTTTTGTGAAGAACCTGTTCAAGCATGACAAGCTTGTCCCTCTCTGACTGCTGAAGGTTGGATAGAGGTATGCCAGTCCATTTGCTTACAATTTCAGCAATATCAAGATCGGTGACTTCTTCTCGAAGCAAAGATTTTCCAGATTTCCGGTATTCAGCAAGTTTCTTCTCAGCTTCTTCTAGCTGACGTTGAAGGGAAATTAGTGTTCCATATTTGAGCTCAGCAGCACGGTTTAGGTCATACTCACGCTCAGCAGCTTCCATCTCTAGCTTGACTCTGTCGATCTATTATTTAAGAATTAAACAGATGATCAGAATAACATAAAGAAACATCATGAGCCTAGATTGGCAACAACAACAATTCAACAAAGAAGATTTACCTCCTCTTTAATTGACCGGATTCGAGTCATAAGAGCTTTCTCGCTTTCCCATTGTTCAGTTAATTCTTTCTGTTTCTGCTTAAGCGACTGTAAATCATTTTCCAGCTTGGCTAACCTTTCTTTGGATGCTTTATCAGTGTCATTTTTTAGAGAGAGTTTCTCCATCTCCAGCTTTAGAATAGCCCTGTCAATCTCATCTAAGTTGGTAGGCTTAGAAGTAATCTCCATTTTCAACTTTGCAGCAGCTTCATCAACAAGATCGATGGCTGAAAAGGCGAGAAAAAAAGGATTTATATTTTACTTGTCAAGAAACAAAAGAGAAATAGTTTGTGAAGCAACCAACATCTAAAAAGAAGATATGTATCACCTTCCAACGCAGACCACATACAATAATTTTATAGGAATGGCAAACAAGCACTCTATTTCCTTTCCTATATTCGTCTTTAGCTTTTGGATGGAGGGGGGAGAGAGAGAAAGAGTATACGAAAAAATATATTTTACTCGTGGACCAGCAAAAAGCAATTCGCAAGTCTTCTAATTTTATTAAGAATGATAACCACCGGCTCTGAACGGCATTTGACCCTCGTCAGAGCATCTCCACGAATCGCAGCCCCATGGAAATGGACCATCTTATAGGAGTTACTTCATGAGAAAGAAAGAAGATGATAAAAAGAAAACTACTAATAACAGTTAGAAAGGCAAAGACAACATGGGGGCAACGTGTTAATAGTACAGTGTAGATCAAACTTCATTCTTCAGTGTAGAACAGAGCCAGATACAGAAACTAGATCATACTTCATTCTTCTCTTTCAGAGTAAACCCAAAATGTCGGATTTACATTGTGGGCCTGAGCTATTATCCAGTCTCAATTACTTGGAGTATGAAGTTTGAACACACAAACAGAATAATGTGGAGACCACAAGAATATATTCCCCTAATCATGGCAATAAAGCTATTATTTACCTTTGTCAGGCAAAAAACGCCCTGTGATGTATCGGTCAGCAAGAACTGCAGCTGCAACGAGGGCACTGTCTGAAATCTTTACCCCATGGTGCAGCTCATAACGTTCACGCAACCCCCGTAGGATGGATATTGTGTCTTCTACATATGGCTGGTCACAAAATACTTGTTGAAATCTACGTTCTAGAGCAGGGTCCTTCTCAATGTACTTCCTATACTCAGTCAAGGTGGTTGCACCAATACATCGGAGCTCTCCTCGGCCAAGCATTGGTTTCAACAAGTTTCCAGCATCCATTGCTCCACCAGTTGCCCCTACACAACACAAAACAAAGTAAAACCACACTTCAGAAAATATTGATATCCTAGGTAAACTTAAGCGAATGAATGCATAGAAACATAAGTATGCAATAGTGAGTATGAGAGTGTGGCCATCAAAGCATGCACAATCTACACAAGTTTTACTTAAATCCATTTTAAGAGTTTTACAATTAATAGAATAATTTACATCATTATGTTATCAAATACTATTTTCACTACTTTCTTATTAACCTTAGACCACACTTTGGTATTCCACCTGTACAGAGTCAGAAGAGAGTTTGCTAATCACAAAATTTTGACATCATGTCGATCTTGTCAAAGTTTAAAATGCGGATGGATGAAATTACTGATACTCCTTGTTGTCAAAATACTCTAACAAACTTCACAATCCATAAAACCCATGAACTCATCTATGAACCTATAATGGAGCTGAAGGTGTTAGGTCAGCTATACTTTTTCAGAGATGCTTATATTTCTGTAATAATAAAACATGAAAGCAAAGTTAATTGTCCTCAACCTTATCTGTTCTAAGTTTTATTGTAGATTAATCAAAATCTCCAGCTTTTTGGCATTCTTCTACAAAAAGTAGAGTTTAATGAAGCATTACTGCATGACTGAATGACAAAGAACTGCTCTCAAAAAATCTAAAATTTCAATTGTTTTATATGCCTACCCATCATGTTATGCAGAGGAACTGAGAAATTGCTGGGAGAACACCACCAAGTAACAAAACATGGCATATTACAGTAGGATAGAAAATTTATAAGCAGAAAGCTAACCTGCACCAACGACAGTATGGATCTCATCTATGAATAAAATTATCTGCCCATTTGAAGATGTGACCTCCTTCAACACAGCTTTTAGCCTTTCCTCAAACTCTCCCCGATACTTAGCACCAGCAAGCAATGAACCCATATCTAGGGAGATCAACTGTATAGAATGCATAACAATGCAAATTAATTACATAAGAAATCAACTTAAAATGAACCACATTACAGAGTTGACATTGCCAACATGCCAAATCTTCTGAATCTAGCAAAACTCAAGTTTGGAAATGACATGCTATAAAGAACTTGAATTTTACTTTGAATCCAAGATATCCCCGTATCTGGATGCGATTACACGATAAGAAATGTGGATATGATTTAAATCATTTGATAAATCAGCATACTCATGGGCTTGATTGAACTCTTACATTCCTCCTATCAAATCTCTTATCGTCTAATCCAATTATAATCAAAGCTATAAATGTTGCCGCAGTTGCCAGGATAGCTTGTATTTCCAATTCTCAATGTAGGTGGAATTTAAATTTTTTAGAAATTTGAATGAAAGAGAAATTGGAAAAGTCTCATCCTTCTTGTCCCCGATTGAATTGGTATCTTTTGGAGTCATCGGCTTGGGATAAAAGGCCATGGATTCTTAATTCTTCGGGATCATTTTCTTGTAAATCGTTCTTCCATTTGTTGATCAACAATCTCAGTCATCCACTTTTCAACCCTTTTTTATGTTTTGAAGCACTAAAGTGTCCGTCAAGGTACAAGTGTCTGCATGGACAAATGCAAGGTTAAATACTTGTGACTTGAATCAAATAGGAGACCAAATGCATGTGTTGCCTCTCATTGCTGTGTCATACACAGAAGTAATAGTGGGAGTATGGATCCCTTTCTTCATCTATTTATATTTAAGGAATAATCTATTTGGGGAGGCTATAATGGATTGGGTTATTCCAAGGGTATGCTCCTTTATTTGTGGAAATATACTGTTGTTGTCTTAGAAAAAATATAAGGGTTTTCATTCCTTGGGCTGTCGCCTATCATCGCAATTTTTTGGGTTGTTTCAATGAAATGTCTTCAACAACTAGTAATTGAGGTTTGAGAATCTTCTATGGGAAAGAGGTAATTTTTGTCCCCCTCTGGGCAACGACTACCAAATTCCTTTCTTACATGTTCTTCAAAATTGGGTAGCAGCATGTTGCTAAAGGGGAGGGGAAAGGGGGTATTGCAATTATTTGTTTTGGTTGATTTTATTTTACTTTTCTACTATGGTTGTTCTGGTTGCATGTCCTGTCCGCCATTTTGTCACTTCTGCTTGATACATATTTCTCCCGAACCCATTCCCAGCCTCAGAAGGTAATTTAGTCCCCTGGAATTGGGCATGTCTTTCAGAGTTCAATGTAAGTTCTGATACTTTACCTTGTACCCCACCACTCATAACAGAATGAGCTAGTACCAGATGTGTCAAAAGACAAACTAACATAGTTGAGCTATCAACAATCTCCCACTCTCTTCACATATCATAATATCATATGATTGAGCTACAAACCATCTTAACCAGGACAAATAGAACTTCACATTCTCTTCTGTGCGATTCAGTTAATTCACTTCAAAAAAGGAAATCAAATGAAAAGAAAATTGATACCTTCCGATTTACGAGAGGCTCAGGAACATCCCCACGGACGATTCGTTGAGCTAAACTGCGAAGTAAATAAATGTTTTTCTTTCAAACAAAAATCCAGACCTCACAAAAAGTACAAAAATCCTGACCTCATATGCGAAAATCCAGAATAAACGTAGAAATTACAACTCAAAGATGAAATATTTTCCTGGCATGTTCAATTGCGAATTAGGGGGGCAATACTATAATTAAATCATCAGATCATATCTACTAGAATTGGAATACCATGAATCCTCAGAAATATAGAATTCAGAGTGATAGGTTACAAGTGCATCACAAGTACCAGTAGTCATGTACATGGATGTGCTGATTGACTACAAGACCTTGTACCAATTTTCATCTCAAGCATATTGCACTAACATGTGAGTGCACAATTGGCAATATAACTAGATAGACTTGTATAATGAGAAATCAACAGAATATGAACTCTTTATCAGTTGAGACGTGAGAGTACACGTGCAATATATTCATATTAGAAAATCAGACATCCTCTCTTTTACCCACAAGGCTTGCACCCACCAGAAGGAAAAATAAGATAAGGAATAAAATATGTGAAAGTATCTATATTAGCCTCTGAAATGCAAGAACCCTGTCTGATAATGCTCCATCAAAGTTATCCAGAACAATAAAAATGGGTTCCCCATATAAGCCAGGCCCCGGTGTAGGAGGAACACAAAGATGCAGAATCAATAGCAATCACAGCGTAGCCTACAGAAAAGCGTGTGCTAAAACACCTAGCACAAGAAAATCAGGGGTTGAAACAAGTACAATATTAAACTGAATTAAATGAACATGTGGAACTTGAAGTTATTACTAAATTAAGGACCATCTTAGATTATACTATTCACATCAAAAAACCATCTCTCTCCAGAGAGAGCAGAAATACATCACATTATTTGTATGGACAACACCAAGTATTGACCATAAGGAATTATTCAGACCAACACCGTTCCATTGACTTTCCCACATGCCATCCATGACATTTTGTCCACCTAGACTCGCCGAAGTTTAATTCTTCTGATCCCATACACAGTTTCCAGTGAACATTAGCATGAAGGGAAAATATCAGAAAAAAACTTTATCAAGCTCCATAAATTGTCTTCGAAGAGCAGGGAAGCTGATGATTAGTTGGCATTAGAAAGAAACAGTATTAAAATTCCAGCAATAGTATTAAATTTTTATCAATTTAGTCCTTGATGCCTATCACATAATTGTTCTCCAAAAAATACTCAACTGCCACGCAGTGTCATCAAGGTGATATGCACTAAAATGCATGAAATACAACTGATACCACCTTTAAAGAGTTCTGTTTTTTATTTTTCATGCTACAATGTGCAAAGAACTCCTACCCCACAACATTTTTTTTTTCTCTTTTTTTTGGGGGGGTGGCAGGGAGGTGCAGCATTTACTCCAATTCTTGCATAAGTTTTGCAGCCCATAGACACTCCAACCATGAGGCTTAATTACACTATATTCTTCCCCAAGTTTAGTAACAAGGATTCACTAAAACACTAAAAAAATTACACGAAAAGATATCTTTGAGAAACCAGCTCTCCTGTTTGTCTAGCCTTGAAATTGTTACACCCTTCCAAATTTATATTTTATTTGATATCCTTTTCCTAGGACCATCTATTGTCTCCATAAACCTTGCAAAGCAAACAGTGAATGCAAAGCAGAAATTTCAGACACCTACATTAGTGTTTGCGACTGGAACACTTTCTTTACAACACCCAAATATTTCAACTTGAAACTTAAAAAATGATTGTATATTTCTTCTTGCCGCATTTATAGGTTACAAGGAAAAGGTGTGCACTAACCTCTTATCAAATCTGAATTCAAGCTGTCTAACCTCTATAGATTTTGGCACCAATGTCATGTACTAGTCAAAAAATAATATTGTACTTTGGGTATCAAAGACATCTAAGAGACAAATAGCTCTGAAGGTCATACCCCTCAGCAATTGCAGTTTTCCCCACGCCTGGTTCACCAATAATAACAGGGTTGTTCTTTGTCCTCCGGCACAATATCTGGATGCACCGACGGATTTCATCATCTCGGCCAATAACAGGATCAAGTTTACCACGCCTAGCGAGTTCTGTCAAGTCATTTCCGTACTTCTCAAGTGCCTGATATTTACCTTCAGGATCTGTAAAAAATAAGCACAGCATGCATCAATAGGCAACAAACTCTAGGTTGGAGAAAGAGGGGGCATGGTCCAATGTAGTGAAATATAAAGGAAGAAATATACAAATACATCATGTAACAAATCCACAACTTGTTAAAAAACCCTCAGTTTTCCAAATAAAATTCTTTTTCATATTCTAGCTTGAAACGTGATATAAGTTTTTATAGATCGTCTCAATCATTAAGTATAACTTCTAGATCAATTTTCTGTTCATGTAGAGGGGATGCTTTCCACTTCCATTTAATCCGGCTTTACAAATTGGAAAGAACAGAATTACATAGCACAACAGGTCTCTTCATACTTTGATCAGTCACTCTCTGACTTCCACGAACAGCTTGAACAGCATCTTTTAAAGCCTTCTCATTGAGCTGCAATTTCCTGAACAGCTGCTGTCCAAACCTATAATCCGACAGAAGTGCTAATAATAGATGCTCAACAGACAAAAAAGAATCCCCCATTGCTCCCTTAATCTTTCTTGCATTGTCCAGCAGGGAACGAAGATGTGGGCCCAATATAGGGCCACTAGTGTCACCTGTTACCTGTTACAGAAAGAGAATATCATATATCCAAGTTACCAGCATTAGCATCCAAATAATTTTCATACCTTTGGTTGTTGAGATAAAAAGTCTTCTATAGCTTGCAAAACTGAGGTGTTGTCAAGCCCAGCTTTTGTTAATATTCTTCGAGCCAGGCCATCCTTCTGCTCCAAAAGAGCCTTCAATAAATGCTCAGGTTCCACCACTTGCTGCTTGTTAGCTCGTGCAGCATCCACAGCACCAATAAGTCCTTCCCATGCCATCTCAGTGAACTCCGAATCATTAATCTGGTTGTAGAAGTAGTCCCATGGGGGCCCGGGAGGACCAAAAACAGCATGAGACAAAGATCCAGAAAATATGCCACCTCTCATTCTTGGATAATAGAAGGATATATTTGCTTTCTAAAAGAACAAAAGAAGTGGAAATAGGCATAAGAAATGTTCGGACTAACTGTTCTCCACTTGATCAGGGTGGGTTTTAGTCTTTCCAATTAGAAAAAATCTTGAAATTGGTCATGAATCAAATGGTTTCACCACTTTGATTAGGAAGCATTGAGTTGATGGTAATCTTGCTCGAAGACCGTGGTTTTTCGATGAATTGTGTAGAGGGTGTTGAAATCCAATACAATTACTGTTGGAACAATAGATACTAGGCTTTGCAAGCCTTCTGAGAAAAAAATGATGGGCTATGTGCAATTGGAACCGCTAATCAATAATCCAAATTTCATTTCGTTGTATTATTTTGGTCACCTAGAAAATAAAAACGTTTTGAAAATATTTCGAAAACATAATAGAAACAAATAAAAAATTAGGAATTCATTTCCAAAATGTTCTAAGACATTAGTCAAAATATCTTGAAACACCTTAAAACATTTTGAAACTCCTAGAAACATCTCGAAACACTTCGACTCATTCCAAATTGCCTCAAAGTATGGAAATTTCGATTAAATAACTTAATTCATTTCGGTTTTGACTCATTCCGAAATGCCTCAAAGTATTAAAATTTAGATTCAATAACTTAACTAATTTCGGTCTACTTAGAAATAAAAACATTTCAGCCGTGCCGACTGTTTCAAAACAAAAATTTGATCCTTGCCACTAATGCAGTTGATGGAAGAACAAGAAGAATAAGAAGGAATAGTGCTAGTGTTGTTGAGTCTATCTTACATAATAGACTTCTAACCATTTAAGCAAACAAATACAATATACATGCTAACTAATGGATCGTCTGCATGAACGTCATCCAATCCAAGTACTTGGAGGTTGCATTTCATAGAAAGCCATTGTCATCTAGCGGTTAAAACTACTCAAAGAGCCCATACGTGTTAATAATTGGCCTGCATTGTATGGGTGACTAAAAAACTCCAAAACAAATTCCAATTCCACAATGGCAAAATTGCATTTCAAACCACACACATCCAAAATTACAACACAACAGCCTTCTTATACATACTCTATTCTGTTGTGCATACATTTATGTACACATGTATTGTATAGCATATAACACTTGTGTACTTGCCTTAGATGACTAGAGAGGGACTTATGACCAGGTAACTTTTATTTCCATACAATTGAAAAACCATATATATCCCCAAAATATTTATCATTACAGTGAATAGAGTAACAAAATGAAAAATTTAATCACCTAAATACGAAAAATCATCATTTGGCAAGACATTCCCAACAATTTGAAACTTCTCAATTTCTTATTTCTCTACCCCAGGGGACGTGTATGGGGTGATTCACACAGTTGTGTGTACTTTTTTGTAATACGTACACAACACACACAAAGATTGTGCAAAACTCTCCCACCTGCATTAACCATCAATTTCAAATTAAAAACTTAGATTACGGACAACGAAGCTTGTTTCCAATGCAAAATTCTGATTCAAAAATGAAAATATCTATTTAATAAAGTAGGAATGCATTTGAATCCTAGACTTATGTCAAGATTTTCGCATCCTTGATCGTTTTAGAATTCTTGGTCCAATGATCTAACTTGATCCCTAAAATATTTTTCCAAACCAAGAATTGCAATGAGACTCTCATTTCATGTAGGATTCGTAGACTCCTATCTCGTCCACATCTCTCAAACTCTCATTCCATATATGTCTCTCTCTTTCTTTCACACCCACTATCAGAGGTATATACGCCTCTTCACTTCTTTCTCTCTCACCCTCTACCACGCCACAGCGCCACCCAACCTCCCAGGTATTCTCTATCTCTTTTTCTCTCCTTCTTGATCCTCTCTGCTTCCCACACACACACATACACACAAGCCCGAATATCTTGGGTGAGACGATTCTTGATTTGGGGGTTTTTGCGAAGGGGGAAGGGGGTTTCTAGTTTGGGGTTTTTGCAGAACACACACGCACAGAACACAGACCAAACAATACCACCAGCTACTGACCATGGCCACCACGTGTTCAACAAAATTTCTCAAAGAGCTACAGAGTCTCTAATCTGGCAAATTAATTCTATTGCCATTATTTACACTGATTGTGGTTTTTGAAATAGTAAATCTCTCCAAAGAGGCAAAACTTAGTAGAGAAAGAGTGAATCTACGAGAGACCAATTTCTTGTATCTGCAAGTCTTCGGTAGGTTGAGCAATTTCTTGCTTTTGTATTTTGATTCTAGGTTTATTAGCTTTCAATAGCACATGCATCTAATTATTTTTCCTTTTAAAATTTTTTGTCTAATATTTGCTTATTCCACTTTTCATTTTTTGTCCTATAATTACTGCATGATTCTTACTTTTCCTATTCTATTAGTGGGTTTTGTTTTAATTTTTGCACAGTTTGTCTCAATAAATTACAAAGAAAGGATTTGGGAATACATTCCATATTAGGAGGTTCTACATTGTACTTAGTAAGAGATTTGGTTTTTATATTTGAAAGTAACCAACAATAACTTCAGCACTCCTCAATCAGCATTTCATTCAAAGGTTGGTTCTCTGATTTAGTTGTACATATCTAATTTATGTCCACAAATCCTCTAGATTTCTGTCTTCTAAGCTATTATCAGTATATACAGTGGTGTATATGTGGTATTCCAATTATGTTTAGGCTAGAAATATAGCAAAACTTTATTGGATATTCCTTGCATGTTTTGGATTTTGTTTGTTTTTTATAAATTTGGGGTTATGATTGTGAACTTGGTATTTGTTATTCGTCTTGATTTTGGTGAATGTAACAATGGATCATTGTTTGATTGTGGATTTTGCGCTGATTTTTAGTGAATTTTGGTGTTATCCTATGGATTTGTGACTTGGTTTTTGTGAATTTGGTAATAGTATTGCAATATTGGTGTATTCTTGTGTAGTTTCCTTCTTATTCTGGGATTTGATGAAAGCGTCATGTAATTTGATTACTAATTAATGCTCAATTATTGATTTGCAATGGTCATGGCATGCACTTGATTAGACTAATTTGTTGTTTGGGTTGGTTTTGCACGTTGGTCATGGTAAATTGTACCTTTAGGTCTTTGCTGTTAGTGCCATTACAAAGTTTATTGTAGTTTGTATCAATTTTTTACTGTTAAGATAGCTCGGGTTTGCCGAAAAATGAAAAAATAAATGGACAACAAGTTTGTGGAGTTAGCATTTAGAGTGCATCCTTGACGTTTTGTTACAATTTTTGTTTTGTGCTCTCTTTATATAGTGGAAGCTTAAAGGGAATTGGTCAATAAAAAAGGCAACCATAAACCACCTTATTTATATGTCCACTGTAAAACAAATTAGTATGTGCATGTCCACAATCAATCATTATGGTGCTTGGAACTAAGCTTCATATATGATGGTTTTTTGTAAGTCAATCCCATTGTGATCCTTATGAAGCAGTTGTATGGGAGAACTTATAATTTATACCTAAATAAGAATGTCGCTTTCCTAATACTGATGCCTTCCTATTTATTTGAGCAACAATCACATAGTATCATTAATACAAGCCTACAAAACACATCACGACCTTAGGGTTTGAGAGGAGTCCATCGTGGCCTTTCACCGGCAATGGCAGCATGTCTTCCAAACCTTGACTGGCTTTGTTTTTCATTGTTTGTTTAGGATTCTCTCTCCATTTATGTATGTACATTGGTACAATTGTTAATTAAAACATTTGACAAATGAATTCATAGTTTGTGCTTTTCTTTTTGGTTTGATCTGTATGCCAATAAACAATCAAATTTTTCATAACCTTAATTTTTCATAACTTACATTTTTGTTTCATTTTGGTTGTAGGGTGGTCCGTGCAATAGGAGATTCAATTGTTGTTATAGATTACTTTGGACGAGCATTATGTGAGCTACATCTGCTTAATCCATTAAGATTTTGGAGGTTGAATGTTCTTCAAGGCTTACACGTCGATAAAATGAGTAATTTTGGTGAGATTCAAATAGGTTTTGTTGTTTTCCTTCTTCTATCAACTAATTTATTGATTTTTAATCTGATATCGACACTAATCAGTTTAATATCTATTAATGCCGGAAGTCGGTTTTTAGATGTGAATTTGTTGTTGATGGTGTCAAAGGCGTGAGCTAGAAGAGCTGATGAGCTTTGTGATAGTTATAATACCAACAGATTTTTGGTCCAATGGTACTCCTTACCTTATTAAGGTTTTTCCTTCTTAAGATCAAGGATTTAAATCCCCCC